CCCCCCACCCACTCTCCCAGCCCCCCTCCATGGCTACCCTGCCCACCCCAGATCCGGCCCTTTAAGGGAAAAAAAACAACCCCCCCAGACTCATCAGCTCCTGCAGTGGCCTCAGGGCTTCAGGGCGCTTGTGAAAGAGCCTCCCATGCAGTGCAGGGCAGTGTGGAGCAGTGGAGATTGCCCCCCCAGGCAGGAGCTGGTAAGCCCAGGCTTATTTTGTTTTGGGGGTTGTTTTTTTTTTTTAAAGATTGGACCACACAGGGCAGCCATGTGGGGGCTGGGGGAGCAGATGGAGGTTGGGGGGCTCATGGCAGAGCCCCTCATGTGGCGTGGGGCAGTGGGGGGCAGCAGGGATTGCCCCCCCGCTGGGCAGCACCTGGTAAGTTGGGGCTTTTTTTTTCCAAAGAGCTGGGGCAGGCAGGGCAGTCATTGCTGGGGCCGGGAGAGCAGGCAGGAGATGGGACCTATGTGATTCGGAGATTCAGCTGATTTCGCAGCAGCTGAACCTCCAAATCAGATTTAGCCAAATTGATTCAGGACAGTGATTTGAATCACCGAATCCAAAGCAAATACTAGCCGCTTCACACAGGCCTACCATTTAAATCTCTTTCCCCCATGCATATGCCACTTAATTCCTTTCTTCCACTATTCTTGTTTGAAGATACCATGTAATGACAAATAGCATGGGCCTGAAAGATGGAAAAGACAACTGGTATTATCTTGTACTATGTGAAAGCTCTGATGTGATTTGAGAGTTAACTCTTTTTTATTATATACATTTCTGTCAATTGGCAAAGTCATATGTACTAATAAGTTGAAATGCATAAAATATTAAGCTATTGAAGGCATCTTCCAAAATGAGGTTCTGTACCAAAGCAATAAGAAGCTTTTCTATAGAAAGTTATTGCTATAAACTGCTCTATATATATCAGGGAGAGTTTGCTAACAGAAAATGGGTAACTACCCCAGCTATTCTTTCTAACCTAATCAAATGGCAGCAGCCTTTTGTAGCCAGCATTTTATAGCTCCTAGCAACACTAGCAAAGAAACACTTTACCATTGCCTTGGCCTCCACAACTTTATCATAAATTCTACCTTCATTAGGTCTGTATGAACTACTTACACAGTACACACACAGTTCAGGGACAGGATCTTCAGACTAACCAGCTGACAAAGTGTGAGACTGCATCAGCACTTAATAAACCCAATTTTTAGAACAAAAAATAATCAGAAATGAAGCCACTACACAACATGCACTATTACATCATAATCTTACTCTTCACATGCATTATGAGACAAAGGACCAAGGCTTTCAATCATCTGAGAAATCAGATTAGGGTAAAACAGGGGTTTCAAACATGTGGCCTGTAGGCGGGTCATTTAACTCACCCACCTCTGTCAGCTAGATTTAGCCTATGGGGCTGCCAGACTTGGAATTAATCCCTGCTGTTCTAGCACAGCTCTCGAACCCAGGGATTTAATTTCATTTGCAACCCTGCCTCTCCTTACCCACCACAGAAATCAGAGATTTTATTTGCCTCTGGAAACTAAAACTGGTGGCAGGGGGAAAGGGTGTGGGGGCAAAGTGACATTAAATCCTTGAGATCTGGTGCTGTGCCAAAACATCAAGGATTAATGTTGGTGCCACCACTTGTGGGTTGCCTACCTCATGTGTAACCCCAAGGTCCAAATCCAAACCACAGGGCCAAAGAAGTTTGACGTTCCGGGGGTAAAACATTTGCTCTTGACCTTGAGGTCAGTTTAAAACTTGTATTTTTGTTTCTTTTTTACTCCTCTCTCCTTGTTTAAAGTCTGAACAGGACTCTTAAAATCCCCACCTGAATCCTGTTCTTCTTAACTCTACCATGGGATTGAAGATTTGGGACAAGTACCTTCTGAGCCAGAAAGTAACAGTGTTCCAACACAGGTATAACCCAGTGATCAAAACTACCAATAACAAAAAAAAAAAAAATCTGTGATTAGCGTCAAACTTCCCTAATCCCTGAAGAAGCAGTAAGAGAGTTATGGATGCAATTTAACTACAATTTAATTTGCTACCCATTTCACTCATCATTTTCCCATTCCTCTGCATCCCCTCTTTGTGGAGGCAGTTTCCAAGATTTACTTCACATTTTAACTCATAACTTCCAGCTAGCTGGTACCTATGCTTTGCTAGGTCAAGCAAGTCCTTCTAGGATTAGGACTTGTCTATATGGACGAGTTGATGTAGAATAAAGCTAAACTAGGACATGAAACTACATCTTTCATTAATTTAATTCCAAAGTAGAATAAACTGCCTTTGCATTTAGCACGTGCTAGGATAGCTCACAATGAGGAACTAGTGCAGATTAATTAGTTTTCTATAAAAATTACACCCTAACTTTCCCATACAAAAAAACCCTTGCCTTCCCCTACCACATTTTGCGGTGAGAAATGCTTCTTTAATTGGTGACAAACAGAGGACAAACTTTGGAAACAACAGTATGTTACATAAAAGACATTGTGAACCTGCTCAAGGATATATTTAAAGATGATATTATGTAGAGTTATGTACCGGGTTCCTGTTTAATTAAACACATTCAAATGTGTAATCTTTTGCTATAGCTTTTATTATAGTGAGCTTCCACTACTTTCTGATCATAAGTTTTGTTTTGTGACTAGTTAATGGATTCAAGCTGGAAGTCTGCAGAATGTTTTAGAATTGCACAGACTTAAGCATTCAGAAATTTACTGAGGTGTTAAAAATCTCTCTCTATTTATAAAGTCTGACTGTGATATCTAATTGCTGTTCAATGCAATAAAACCATCTGTGCTACAATTACTTCTGCTTTGCTAACAATGTGAATTGTTTCATCTCTACCGTTTGTAATCCAATAATACCTGACAATGACAAGATCCCTGAATGCAAAATGTCAAAATATAATGCATTTTTTTAAATATAGAGGATTTGAAGCTCATAGTTCCAACCATTCCAAGTTTACACTAAAGTAATCAATTGCTTCATTAGGAAGAATACAAAGTTACTGTGTTTTATAATAAAAGTGTTCCATATTTCCTCTTGGAAACAGCATCTGTTTTTGACCAACACTTTAGTCCTAAAAACACACATAACAAAATTCCCAGTAAACAGTACAACATCTGTACTTTTCTTCCATCCCACAGACCATACTTTAGTGGCCTGTTTTCATTATTACTGATTCAGCAGCTTGAAAAAGGCATTGATCAATACTGTGAACCAATAACAGACTTTAGCTTAAATGCATACCCATTTCTACCTCTGCAGATTAACCTGGAAAGCAGAAAGGGATGAATTTCAGTTCCAAAGTATGATCCCACAAGAAAACAGAATAAGACATTTGCGTCGCATAGTTCTTTGGGTCATATTGAAATTCTTACTCTTGGGCCATACTGAAATTACTATTACTCATTCCCAGACCTGAAAGCTATGAAATCAGATTATAAAGCTTTAGGGTGAAGGACGAAGAACATATTTGGTCTCCTGACTTTGAGCACACTAAGGCTAAAAACAGATGTCGGATTTATCTTGGGTCTGACTGTCCTAGACTTCTAACTTACTTCAAAATAGCAAGAGACAGCTGTTTACACAAGCAGCTTGAATGGTAATTAATTCAAATTAGCCCCAAATAGTGAGGGGGGCAGGGAAGGGGGTGTTCTATCATGGGACTTCACAGGTAGTTAAAGTGGGAGAATGGGCATGTAGTAGGTTCCCAGAATAATAAAAGGCTTTGTCCCAGGAGAAATCCTATTTCTGTTTTTAGCCTATGATATTGCAAGAGAGTGCTCCTCACCTGCTGTAGTACATGTCTTTCTCTCAATGTCATTAATCTTCTGTGGAGTTCTACTAGTTCATCAAGATATGCCTGGAAATGAACCCCCCACAAACAAAGAACTTGTTAAGTATACAAGCAAATTAGTTCAGAGGGGATAGAATTCCCTCCCTCACTGGCACTTTTAAATACCAACTTGCATGAGGGGGAAACTCTTCCAACCATAGGCCAGGGTGTCTGACAGCACTTATGTGGAGGAAAAAAAAATTAGGTTCCCAGTCTGGAGGTCACAAATTGTCTGGGGGATCATAAGCATTTTCCCTTTAATGTTTTTTTCTGTTTTAACAGGATCACTAGGCAGTGAAGACACAACATAGCTTCTTAGGACACCATCTCTAGAGCAGGTGTTGGCAACATTTTTGGGCAGAGTGCCAAAGACACCAACACCCTTGACTTGTAAGATGCTGGTGTGCAAACAGCAGATGGTGGGGGAGCTGCAAGAGGCCTGATCTTTGTTGTAGTAGCGCAGCCCCAGCCCCATCCCTGCCATCTGCCCCAAGGGTTGCGTGCCAAGCTCTGGTACCTGTGTCAGAGGTTGCCTACTCCTGGTGTACAGCATGCCCAGAGTAGAGCACCCCAAATAGGGATGCTGCATGGATATATGCATTGTTCTTTCTTTCAGGAACAAAACAAGGGCTACATATTAGGCTGTTGATGAAAATGAGACACCAAATTACGAGTCCTGGTCTCATGGTAGCACAAAGGTTACTATTACTACTAAATTCTGAACCCTTCAGGAGTGTCTCTATGCTGGGAAGTTGCATGGAGTTAACCAATACAGACATTTAACAAGTGTTATAAAACTCAGTTATCCATGGTCAGTTGATACAACTTTAAACAAAATAAAATAGTCTTTCCTTTTGCTAAATGCTAACTCTGAGTTAAGCAGCATAACACTAAAATGTATTCAACACTGTCATCTCTGGGCACTTACAAACCCTTGGAAAGGTTTCTGTATAATACTTAGACTGATTGCCTGGGATTTTGGCAGTAGGTTCTGGGCAGGAACTCTCTTTTATTTGTTCTATGAAATATTATGTAAATTTAAAGCACTGCCCTAATAATGAAATAGGTGGAAGATACTCATGTAATATTGAGGGAGAGTACTTAAATGGAAAAAAAAAACCCTTAGAGTAGAGATTTGGTAACTTGCAAGTTTTCCATTCTGTAAAAAAATTCTACTACTTTGGCAACAATGTAGAAGAGAAAGTACTGTACCTTAATATGGCTTTCTAAATTGGTTTACTGTTGTCACTTTCATATTTACCTTATCACAATCACCATTCTTTATTTGTTTATCAGATTTACTTTGCTTCATTGGGCTTTTCACTTCTAGAATCTGGAGGGAAAAAAAAAAAAAGAAACCCCTGTAAGCATTAAGTATATCATTGGGCTATATAAATAATTACATTTAAAAAACCTGCCATCACCCAAAACCAACCAAAAATATAACAACTAGAAGAAATCACAACCAAACTCTACTACTGACCATTCTTGCTTTTTGACCTACACAAAGTTAGTCTTCTCAGAAAGAACTTACAACAGGAAATGCTGTTTCATTAAAATGAAATTATTTAGAACAAATGGACTTTAAAGGAATTGATTCCTGGACGTTTTTTATTCCTTCTCATGTCCTACATTCAGATGTTGGCAAGGGAAAAGGTGTAATTACTGAAGATACATAAAACTGAGGCATACTCTAGATTCTTGGAAACGGAGACTTTCAATACAGAGAATAGGAAAACACATTTAACAGACTGAATATTGTTGTTTCTTTTTCACGAACGATACAACTTCCAGACTGCATGAGGTTTAACTGCTCCAAAACTATTTAAATAAAAAAAATATATAATCTAATGTGGTGGGCTTGCCAGTGGTAGCCCAGCACACCAGCTTTGGAAAAGTTTGAAATGGTTGGTGGGGTATTTCCCTTTCCCCAACAATCAGGTAAAGGCAGGGAAGAGGCAAAGAGCTGGACCTGAGAGGGAACTAACACCCCCCCTCTCTTTAATTGGTCCATTTCCTATCTGGGGGTGGAGCCCCCGAAAGGAATAAAAATGCAGCATGCCCAGCACTCCGGCAGCTGTGTTGAGGAATGAAGAAGAGGGTGGAAGAAGAGCTGGCCAGCAGGGTGGAGCACTGGCCCTAGAAGAGCCAAAGATGGATCGTCAGATGGGGCGTGGCAAGCGGATGCATCTCCCTGCCCTGCCACAAGGGAGCACAGCGTTGGTGCACAGCTGGTGCACAGAAGGTTCCGGGGGGACTGAGACCCTGGGAGCTGCAGGCAGCAGCTCAGGTCTCCAATCCTGGCATGAGGCCAGGCATCCTGGTGCACGGGTTGGTGCACGGAGGGTCCGGGAGCGGACCAAGACCCCAGAGCTGCACAAAGTGGCTAGGGTCTCCACCCCAGCATGAGGCTGGGAATGTGGTGCACGGGTTGGTGCAGGGAGGGTCCAGGAGTGGACCGAGACCCCAGAACCACACAAGGCAGCTCGGGTCTCCAACTCCTTGCATGAGCCAGAGCCAACAGTGTACAGGACGGTGCACAGGGCCCAGAGAGGGCCTTGAGAAACTGAGGACCCCCTGCTGAGGGAGGAGATGCCTCGGCCGGAGGAACAGAAAGGCCTCGTTAGACCTCGGAGAATCGTAAGCTACCAGGGAGAGAGTTTCCCACAGTGGAGGAGGGATTTCCTGCCCCCTCATTTGTGGCTAGCAGCTGGAAGGGAAGCCCCGAAGGGGAGGACTCCTGGGTTGGGAGGTCCCCCTTGTGGATATTTCAAGCAGGGTTATAGGGTTCCATAGGGCACGGAAAAACTTTCCCCTCTTCTTATCCTTGGGGCACTGTTATTGCATCAGGGTAACACGGGCTATCCTTTTGTTTTCTTGGGAATCTAAGTTTGGGCATGCTTTGTTCTGCACCTTATATTTTGTAAATTCTGCGCCTCTTATTTTGGAGCCTGTGCCTTATGCTTTGTAAGCCTTACACCTCATGAGAGTATAAGTTTGCATGACTGTTAATGAGACCCTTGTTTGACCTCTTGATCTCTCATCAGTATAATATATAGAGTACCTGTATAGGTATGTGTATAAATTGCTTATAGTTCCTATATTTTGTGTATATATGTATATATTATGATTTTCTTATCTTATTAAATTTGTACATAGTTAAGTTTTATTGTGTGTCCAATCCTGACTCTACAGGGGAAGGAGGGAAACTATGTGCAGCAAGCAGTTACACCCCACAGAGCACCTGCCTTGCTAACATTCCCTTCAATTGGAGAGGGGAGTACATAATGGCATACTACCTGGGCTACACTAATATTGCATTAACATAATGATTTTCCTTCAAGAAGATTCTAAGCCACTTTGCAAGCTTCAGCCTGCATAATGTACATACTAGAAACCAGGATGCCTTCAGCTAGCACTAAAGTTCAGTCATCTCTAGAAAAAGAATGTGTCAACTAAGTCAATAGCACACTGCTTCTATATGAAAGTTTTAGGACAGGACAGGAATTTTCTTCCCCCCACTTGGAAACTACAGATCAAATTTATGTAAACAGAATGTAATTACCCAGCTTGGAACATGGCAGTTTCTGTGAAAAGTATAAGAGGATGTTTAACAGTCACAAAATGATCCAAATTTCTGTTTTACATCTCACAGTACAGAAGATAACTTTGGTGACACATTTCCACCCTTCCCACTCCCCCCAATACGCTCAGCCAGGGGTCAGCAATGTTTTTGGGCAGAGTGCCAAAAACACCCCAACCTTGACTTGCAAGATGTTGCCATGCTAGAGATGGGTGGCGGGAGAGGTGTGAGGGGCCTTCTCCTTGTTGTGGGAGTGCAGCCCAGCCCCTTCCTCACCATCTGTTCCAAGTCGTGTGTGCACCTGCTGCCAGAAAGAAGTTGGTCCAGGGCTCTGCAGACCCCAGTGCAGCCACTTACAGCTTTCCTGCTGCCTGCTGCAAGCACCCCAGGCTCCCTGATGTGTGGCCAGGGCCTGCCCAGAGCTTGGGCCTGATATGGCAGGTGGCTGGGAGGCTGCAAGCCACTGTATCGAGGTCTGTGGAGTCCTGCTTGTTGCTTGTGGTGGATACACGTGCACCTCCAGGTAGATGGTGGGGGAGCTGTGAGGGGCTCAATCCTTCTTGTGGCAGCACAACCCTGGCCCCTTCACCACTATCTGCCCCAAGGCATGCATGCCAAGCAAAATGCCTTTTCATGCCATGCTCTTGCACACATGCCAGGGGTTGCTGACGCCTGCACTAGGCTGTCATTACATGAACTTCAATATGAAAACAAAATCAGACTTTTGGATACCACCAGCCCCTACTGCACCAGTTTTCTCCAATTTCAAGAGCCTCCCCATAGTTTTAGAAGATTGTACCCAATAGCATAGCAGAAAAGGCAACTGACCCAGCTGCCCTGAATGCCACCTTGGTGAAGGGGTGCAAAAAATAGTTGCAACCACAGTGTTAGCTAATCATCAGGAATCCTGGTTTTCTCCAATTTAAAAAAATCCCCAATTTTCGGGTAAAAAACTTAACCCCAGATCCAAATTTTTCTGGGATTGAAATAAAACACCACTAATATATAGATATGTATATTGTGGTGTTTCATTTTAATCATGGAACAATGTGGATTTGGGGTTACTTTTTTTAACCGAAAATTGGGGATTTTTTTAAATCGGAGAAAACCAGGATCCTTGCTGATCATACCACTGTGATGGCAACCGTAGCAGCAGAGACTGCTCTGGGCATTGTGTGGTTGATACAGGTATGGAGCTGCCCATCTATGCCTCTGATTGCATTTATGCTCTATAGAGTGCTAGCAACCTAAAAACATGAATACACATTCATGCTAGCTCTGGCTGCTTTCCTCATGGACAAAAGGAACAAATGCCTTACTTAACCATAATTGTTTATTTTACTAAGAAAGGTGCATGACTGATATGCAAATAATGAAGCCACTGGGGGTGAAGGGAAGAATCTTAGTTTAACAGGCCTGGAGGCTGCTATAGTTTGGGATGGAAGAAAAGCAATCTTCTCTTGACAAAAGAAATATTTCTGGAAAAAATGTCAGGTTTTTCAGGTGCTGTTTTATTTTATTACTTTAAAAAGAAAAAAAAGCTTATAAGCTAAGAGTGATTTTTGACATGCAGTAATCCTAACACCAGAAACTATTTTCAAACAATTCAGTAGCTAGGACAAAGTATAGCTGAAGGAGCTGTTTGCTTAACACCTGCCAGATATAGCTATCAAAATCCAGTGGTTTTCCACAATTTATAGCCCATTATTTCCAATACCACGAGTGTATTTATTTATATGAGATTTACTGTATTTATTTGATTATAAGACAAGCCCTACCTCACCATTTAACATGGGAAAAGAGCCTCATGTCTTAGAATCGAGTATGAGGGCAGTGGAGCAGGCGACAGCTGTGGCTTGTGCTCCAGACTCTACCTGGGGTTGGGGCAGTACCTGCAGCTGCTGGTGGCTCCCCACCCCATCTGCAGCAGAGAGGCTTGAGAGGGAAGTTGGTCCCCAAAGCTATGGGAGAGGCAGGCACAAGCCAAGGGCAGGCTGCTTGACCTTCCCATACTATCTGTCCTCCCGCTGCTTGCTCTCCTGTAGTGGTGGTATGGAGGGAGATGAATTAAAGACAATCCTTCAGTAATTAGATTCTATACATGGAAAATTATAACAAATGTATATTTTTTCCATTAATAGAAACTAATTATTGGGGTGGAGGGTGTCATCTTAAATTCAGGGTTGTCTTACATTCAGGTAAATGCAGTATCATTAGAGGAGGTTTGTGGAAAAACTCACATTATCTTTGTATTTGAGCCCCTTGTCCTTGTCTAAAATTCACTCTTCATATCACTACACTATACAGGATAGTAACCATTTTCAGGAGTCCTTCTTTTGTCTACAACTGTATCGCTCTATAATGTGGATCTACTTTGTAACACAAGCCTCGATGCACAGGTCAAGAAGATCATGACTGTACCCTGTTGGCAAGATCAATGTTTTAAATGTGGCTCTGGCTAACACAACTAGTACTCTAGCACAGTCACAGTCTCTTCAATTCTCCAAAGTTTATTTTCCACTTCATCCATTAAATGGTCTGAGAATGCCTTCCAAAAATGTCTCTAAACCAGTGATTTCCAAACATTTTGAGCCGAGGCCCCCTTTGAGTTACAGTCCCCTCCCCACCACCCCAGAGGAGCAGCACAGCGAGACACAGGGCACCCCTCATCCTAACAGCCACCATGGCTTGGCTCGGCAGGGCAGGGTCCACCTGCTGCAGCTCCAAACTACAGAGTTTCCTGCTTTGAC